CTGTATCTATCTTATTTGATTGTTCCTGTAGCACTTTTCTGACTTCTTCTTTATTTTTCTCAACTCCATTGTAAAGTGTTTTGAAACATTTTATAGTCATTTTTTCTGAATTATTTCTCAGGCATTTCCAAGGCCTGCCCTCCTTCCAGAATGGAGTACAGGTCTACTTCTAGGTCATTTGTCTCAGCCATTTTGTCTTTTTTCTGGACATGTGCCTTTGTTTCTTGGACATGTTTAATGTTTATCTGTGGCCTTAATACTTAATTGAGTATGTGTTTTGTTAAATTTTTATGCTTTCTGATTGCTTCCAGAAAGAAGTGATCAGGATGTGGGCTTCCCTTTTCACTCTTCTTATTGCTTAACTCAGAGTAACTTTCACAGGTGTTTTCTGTTTCCCTGGTATATGACAGTTGGTATTGTTTCTTGCCTGGGTTTTGGTGTTTTATAGAGTGTGATTGTAGCTTGGCTGTATGGCAGCAGTTGCTGACTCTTCTTGTGTAATATAGGGAGACAAAGAGTTCTCCAAAGGCAGAAGAGTGGGGGCATATAACAGCAAAACAACACCAGCGAACAGAAAAAAAAAGTGAGAGAAAGAAGAAAAAAAAAAGAGTAAAAAGCAGCACCAACAAAAACAAGACTGAATACCACAGTCTCTAACCACAGAAAAGTGAGAGGATGGAGAGAAGAAAAAGAAGGCAAAAAAAAAATTTAATTAAAAAAAAAATCTATAGCTTAATATGAGTATAACTTTAATGTCCTCTCTAAGTTCCTGCTTTCAAAGCTGCCCAAGAGATTCCAAGTTGCCAGTGTTGGTTGTTATGCTATACCTCAGGCTCCAATCTGACCGTTGGCCTGTTTTGCCTTTAAACTCTCTTTTCCTCCCTTCAGCCCTCTCTTTTCTTTCCCGTGATGAAAAACAGAACAAAAAAACAGATAATAAAAGTTCAGGGTCTCTACTTGGGCTGAGTATCTGTGCGCATGCGTGGCAGAAGAACCCACCAGCGGTGAGGGTGGTGGGTGGCCACTCAGCTCAGGCTCTCCCTCTATTCACCAGAATGGAGGTGGGCAAACAGTGAGCGTGCCAATAACCAGATACCAAAGAAAAAAAGAAAATCAGAGCAAAGCAAAACTGACAAAGTATATTGTTCACCTTTGTCCCAAGGTTCCCACGGTGTTTTTCCATGGTGTTTCTGCTCCACCTATTTCATCTTGCTGCTTGGTCTCGCCCAGGATGTCAGCTTGGGCCTCTGAGCCCAGCCCGGCAGATTCAAAAGTACACGATTTTTTTTACTTCATCTCCAAACTCCACAAGCTATAAGCCTTCAAACCTTTAAAATAATACTATCTCTGTGGTTCTGAGTTTTGGAGCTCTGCCTTGGATCTGCTTTGCCTGGTATTCTGTGTTATTGCTGAAGGCGATCTTCACTGCACCTCCACCCTAGCCGCCATCAAGCCCCACTTCTCCCTTTTAACTCTTGTTATTACTCAACTCAGGGTAACAGTCGTAGATGTTGGCTGCCTACCTGGTGTATGGTAACTGGTATTGGTTCTCGCCTGGATGTTGGAATTTTATAGGGTGTGATTGTAGTTTGACTATATGACTGCAATTGCTGTCTCTTCTTGGGTAATGTAGGTAAAGAAAGAGCCCCCCAAAAGTAAAGTGAGGACCAAAAAACAAAATAGCAACAGCAAAAAAGACAAATTGGATACTATAGCCTATAATTGCAAAAAGGAGCAAAGAGAGGGGGAAAAATGTGTAGCTAATTATGAGTATGTCTTTAATGTCCCTCTCTCAGCTTCTTGCCTTCAAGGCTGCCTGAGAAATTTCAAGATGCCACTGTTGGTCATTATGATATAACTTAGGGTTTAATTGTTGACCCGTTTCCTTTTTAGCCTATGTGTTTCCAGCTCCACAACCCCCATTCAGGCCTTTTCCCTAGTGATAAACCATTCAGGGCCTGCTGTGACCGTTTTGTGCTATCGTTTGGTTTTTAATGGAAACTGTCCCTTTAAATTTTTTAGTAGCTCTATGTGTATGTGGAATAGAACCCTCCGGGGGTGGGGGAGTGTCCACTCACTCAGGCACCAGAATGGAGGTGTGCAGACAGCAAGAGACCAATGAACAGATACACACACATACACAAATGTCAATACCTTCCAAAGATCGGTCATGCATCAGGTGTCTATGGCAGCTCTGATAGTTCCCCATCTCCACCTTGCCCAAGATGGCCAATCTGGGAGCCACTGAGTCTCGTTAATCTGAAAGCACTAGATTTCTTGCTTCTGCTACAAATTCTACTGGCCATAAGCCTCCAAACTTTCTAAATATTCCTTTATATGTAGTTCAGACTTCTGGGACCATCCCCTGAACTTGCTTCATCTAGTATTCTGTGTTATTGCTGATGGAGATACCCACTGCACTTCTCCCTGATCCCCCATCCTCCATCAGGGGAATTGTTGGCAACCTAATAACTACCAGGCCCAAAACTACTTGCGTCTGAAGAAAAGTATGAAATAAAATTCTTCTTTTGTGTAAGGAACTCTGGATAGTGCAAATAATTAAGTAGTCAGCCATTAACCAAAAGGGTAATGGTCCAACCCTTTCCCCCCAGAAATACCTAAGTAGGAAGACCTGGCAATCTGCTTCCTAAATGTCAAAGCCATGACAGCCCCACGGAATATAGCTGTACTATCATACAGTTTGACTTAACTAATCAACAGCAACAACAGAGTGATCACTCAAAGGCATCTGGTAGTTGGCCTACTCTCTAGGACAAGGAAGAATTAGGTACTAGGGCCACATGGAAATGTGGGAGATGACAGTTTCCGACATATACAGGACTGTAACTCTTCTGTCATGGGCAGAAATGAGAATTGGAAGAACAAAACAGCAGGAGATCAACTGAATGTGTTCATCCATCTCTTTGTAGATTGGCTGATCCTTCAAGCTTCATACCCGATCTTTGAAGGAGATGATGTGAATATAAGATGCCAGGGGAAAAAGGATGATAAAATTATTGAAAGGATTTACTACAAGGATGGAAAAGAACTTTATTCGTATAAGAACAAAAAGTTAATCACACTATGTGCAGACTTTAGGGACAATGGCGAATATCATTGTACTGCTTCTGTGAAAGGCATAATTAGTAAGTGGACGGAACATTCAAAACATCTAAGGATCCAAGTTCAAGGTAATGGCTACATTTCTGTGAGTAATGGCAGGGGAATGATGTATGAGGATTGAAGTAGAGAACTCACTAGTAGATATCTTATGAAAAGTTCCATGGCCCAGCCACAGGAGGGAAATGGGAATTGGTTCCATCGTGTGTTTTTCTATCTTCTGATAGCCAATTCTGAGAACATAGGTGCTTCTTCCCAGGAGTGCTGAGTCTTATTGCTCTGGGGATTATGTTTACTCTTCTCTCTAGAGTTGTTTCCACCTCCTAAGCTGACAGTTATACCCACCGAGCCCACTGAGGGAAACCCAATGACCTTGAGATGTGAGACCTGGCTTCCTCCACAAAAGTCACACATTCCGCTTCAATTCTGCTTCTTCAGAGAAGGCCATATTTTGGGAACAAGTGATAGCAGATCCCCAGAACTCCAGATCCCCATCATATGGAGTGAAGACTCGGGATCTTACTGGTGTGAAACAAGGCAGGTGGCTCACAGAGTCAGAAAACAGAGCATCCAATCTCAGATTCATGTTCAGAGTGAGTATCCATGGGGCTGTTTATCCAGAGTAAGGGTTGGGGAGAGAGGAACAGAGCAGTGTCATCTCCTATCCGTTGGAATGCTAGCATAACAGAGAAGAGCATTCAATTCTCCTGGTATCCCTCCTTCTTTAGGTTCAACATGGGCCTTCTTTCACCTAAGTCACATAATAGTGTTGTTGTTAGGGGCCATAGAGTTGGTACTGACTCAGAGCAACACTATGTGCAACAGAACAAAATACTACCCAGTCCTGGGCTAAGCTAACAATTGTTGCTACGTTTGAGCCACTTGATGCTGCCACTTTGCCAATCCAACTTGCTGGGGTCTTCCTCTTTTTCTTTGACCCTCCACCTTACCATACATGATATCTGTCACCAGTGACTTGTCCTTCCTGACAATATGTCTGAAATATGAGAGACGAAGTCTGGCCATCCTGGCTTCCAAGGAGCATTCTGGCTGTACTTCTTCCAACACACAAGTGTTGGTTCTTTTGGAAGCCCATTGTACTTCTGATATTCTCCTTTAACACTATAACTCAATGGCATCAACTTTCTATGATCTTCCTTATTCACTGTCCAACTTTCGCATGCATATGAGGTTATTGAAAATACAATTGCTTGGCTCTGGCATACCTTAGTCCTCAAGCTGACATCTCTGCTCTTCAACACTTTAAAAAGGTTTTGTGCAGCAGATTTGCCTAATGCAATCCATCATTTGATTTCTTGGCGGCTGCTTCCATGACTGTTGATGGTTGATTCAAGAAGAATGAAGTCTTTGAAAACTTCATTCTTTTCTCCATTGATAAGGATGTTGTTTATTGGTCCAGTGGTGAGAATTTTTGTTTTCTTTACATTGAGATGCAATCCAAACCAAAGGCTATGATCATTGATCTTCATCAGTAAGTATTTTAAGTCCTCTTCAGTTTCAGCAAGCAAAGTTGTATCATCTGCATATCGCAGGTTGTTAATGAGTCTTCTTCCAATCTTGATGTCACATTTTTCTTCATGTTATACAGCATCTTGGATTATTTGCTCAGCATACAGGTTGAATAAGTATGGTGAAAGAATACTACCCTGTCACACACTTTCTTAATTTTAAACCATTCAGTGTTCCCATGTTCTGTCCGAACTGCCACTTGGTCTATGTACAGGTTACTCATGAGCACAATTAAGTGTTTTGGAATACTCATACTTAGCAAAGTTGTCCATAGCTTGTCATGATCTACACAATTGAAGGCCTTTGCATAATCAATAAAGCACAGGTAAACATCTTTCTGGTATTCTTTACTTTCAGCCAAGATCCATATGACATTAGCAATGATATCCTTCATCCCAGGCTTAAACCTCTGGAAGTTCTCTGTCAATGTATGTTTGCAACTGTTCTGTATTACCTTTAGTTAAACTACTCGCAAAGGATATCAAAGATATTGTCAGATGATTTCCACATTCCATAGGTGCTCCTCTTTTTGGAGCGGACACAAATACAGATCTCTTCCAATCAGTTAACCAGAAAGTTGTCTTCCAAATTTCTTGGCATAGATGAGTGAGTACCTCAAGTGCCACCTCATTTTGTTGAAATATTTCAATTTGTATTCTGTCAATTCCTGGTGCCTTGTTCTTTGCCAATTTCTTCAATACACGTTGGACTTCTTCCTTCAGTTTCACTGACTCTTAATCATATGCTACCTCTTGAAATGGTTGAACACTGACCATTGCCTTTTGGTACAGTGACTCTGTGTATTCCTCCATCTTCTTTTTATGCTTTCTACATCATTCAATAATTTGCCCAGAGAATCCTTCAATAATGAAAGTCAAGACGAATTTTTTTCTTCAATTCCTTCAGCTTGAGAAATGCTGAGCATGTTCTTCCCTTTTGGTTTTCTAACTCCAGATCTTTACACATTTCATTGTAATATTTGACTTTGTCTTCTCGTGCTGACCTTTGAAATTTTCTGTTTGGCTCTTGGACCTCCTCATTTCTTCCATTTCCTTTAGCATCTCTATGCTGGAGAGCAAGTTTCAGTGCCTCTTCTGACATCCATTTTGACCTTTTTCTCCTTTCTTGTCTTCTTAATGACTTTTTGGTTTCTTCATGTGTGATGTTCTTGATATCATCCCACAACTCTTCTAGTCTTCAGTTTTTAGTGCCTAATGTATCAAATCCGCTCTTCACATGATCTCTAAATTCAGGTGTGATATATTCAATGTTATATTTTGGCTTTCTTGGACTTGTTTTCATTTTCGTCAACTTCAACCTGAATTTGCATACTAGCAATTGATGGTCTGTTCCACAGTCTGCCCCTGGCCTTGTTTTGGCTGATGATATGGAGCTTTTCCACCTTCTCTTTCCACCAATGTAGTCAATTTGATTTCTGTGTATTCCATCTGCTGAGGGCCATGTGTATAGTCCTCTCTTATGCTGCTGTTTAAAAAGGTATTTGAAATGAACAAATCATTGGTTTTGCAGAATTCTATCATCCAATATCCAGCATCATTTCTATCACCAAGGCCATATTTTCCAACTATTGATTCTTCCTCTTTGTTTCCAACCTTTGCATTCCAATCACCAGTAATGATCAATACATCTTGATTGCATGTTTGATGAATTTCAGCTTGAAGAAGTTGGTAGAATTCTTCTATTTCATCCTCACTGGCTTTAGTGGTTCATGAGTAAACGGTATTAACTGGTTTTACCTGTTGGCACATGGATATTATCCTATCACAGACAGTGTTGTGCCTCATGACTGATCTGGATATGTTCCTTTTGATAACGAATGCAACACCATTCCTCTTCAATTTGTCAGTCATGATATAGTAAACCTTGTGGTTGTCAGCTTCAAAATGGCCAATACCAGTCCACTTCAGCTCATTGATGCCTGAGATATGGATCTTTATGCGTTCCATTTCATTTTTGACAATTTCCAATTTTCCTAGATTCATACTTCATACATTCCATGTTCCAATTATTATGGATGTTTACAGCTGTTTCTCTTCATTTTGAATTGTGTCCCATCAGCAAATTAAGGTACCAAGGGCTTTATTCCATTTGTATCATCACGGTAAGCTCTTCTTTGAGGATGCAGCTCTTCCCTTGTTACAGTTTGAGTGCCTTCCAGCATGAGGGACTCTTTTTCTGACTCTATATCTGACAGTGCTTTTCTGTTATTTGTAAGGTTTTTCCATGACTAAATATTCAGAAGTAGTTTGTCTCTCCTTCTTCCTAGTCTGTCTTCATCTGGAAGCTCATCTGAAACATGTCCACCATGTGTGACCCTGCTGGTGTTTAAAATACCCATGGCAGAATTACAGCAACTCACAAGCCACCACAGTACAACAAACTGACAGATGAGTGGTGGACAGATAATAGCAATAACTTATTATTTATGGGGTGTCCAAACCTGTGTGGGTTATAGAGATATACAGAATATGTTCTCTAGTGAGTTTACAGACAACTAAAACACAGCTGACCACGTGCTGTCTTTAGAGGTCTGAATGTTGCTTCCATTTGTGGATCTAAATGAAAACAAAAATAATTAGAAAAGTAGATAAACATGAACTTGAAGTAGAACTTGAGAAAAATGTGGGGAAATGAAGGTGGAACTAGAGAAGAGTCTTGAAGGATAGGAGAGGAATGTGTTGGCTGAGTAGTCATTTCAGGATAGGTGTAATATCCTCAGTGTTCTCTTTTTATTTGATGATCCATTGGTACATTGAAGATTTCTTAGAGACAAATGTCCACAAAATGTGATTGCAGCCATTAGGTTTAGGAAGATCATGGATCTGGTGCCCACATTCTCCAAGGATGGGAATTGTACCTGTATGTGTGTTGGGAGGGGCCAGGATGTTTCTTGCTTTATAATAATTGTTGTTTTTGTTAAGTGCCATTGAGTTCGATCTGACTCATAGAGACCTTTTATAGGAGTTTTGAAGCTTGAAATCTTTGTGGGAGCACAAAGCCTCATCTTTCTCCCACAGAGTGGCTGGTGGGTTTGAACCACCAATCTTGTGATTCACAGTTTAGTGCTTACCTTATGGAGCCACTGTGCTTCATTTATAAAAATTTACACAATTAATTCCTTATTTCCTACTTTCAACTCTTGCCTATTGCCCATGTTGTTATTTGCCTACTCATGGTAACACCTGTCTCCTCTTTGGCTGCAAAGTTCTTGCTCCTGGGACTCTCACATGTCAACTTGTGCCCTCCAGGAATCCCTGTATCTGATGTGAATCTAGAGCTCCGGCCCCCTGGCGGGCAGTTGATTGAAGGAGAAGACCTGGTTCTTGTCTGCTCTGTAGCCAAGGGTTCTGGAACAATCACATTCTCCTGGCACAGAGAGGGCATAGTAAGTCTGGGAAGAAAGACAGAGCGTTCCTTGAGAGCAGAGCTGCGGGTTCCCAATGTGAAGGAACGTGATGCCGGCAGGTACTACTGTACAGCTGACAATATGCATGGCCCCATCCTCAGCAAGTGGATTTCAGTCACTGTGAAAGGTAAGTTATCATGACTCTTACTCAGCCTCTGGTTCTCAAACTAGGATGTAGTACTCTGTTAATCATGAAGGTCTTCAGAAGGAGGTAGAGGAACAGAGATGTGAAGATCAAAAAGCTATCTAAGAATAGCAAAACATGGCAAAATAAGTTGAAGTCACCTTACTTCTTGTGAAGGAGACTTAGTAATAAAACAAAATTACCCAGAATTTGTCATGTTTTTAGAAAAATGCTTCTGATTATTAGGTGGTGAAAGTGTGGTTACTGGAAACCAGAAACTGTCAGAGACATGTCATTTTTAGGCTGTTTGGGTTATGGATCCCTTTGTTTCTGTCAGTTCCAGTGTCTCACATAGTCCTCACCCTCCGGACTCAACGGGCCCAGCCTGTGGTAGGGGACATGATGGAGCTTCACTGTGAGGCCAAGCGAGGCTCTCCCCCGATCCTGTACCGGTTTTATCGGGAGGATGTCATCCTGGGAAACAGCTCAAGCTCCTCTGGAGGAGTGTCTTTCAACATCTCTCTGACCACAGAACATTCTGGAAATTATTCTTGTGAGGCCAGCAATGACCTGAGGGCCCAGCACAGTCACAGAATGACACTCAATGTCATAAGTAAGTAGAATACATCAACAGCACTTACAGCCAAGAACAGAATGTCTTTGCTCACAAATAGAGCTCCACTGAACTATTGGTTTGTGTGGCATTCCCGCAGACTCCCTAGTTTTTCTGCCTTACCTGGGAGTTCTAAGATTCTTTCTTGTTGCTGCATGTTCAATAAATTAGACTTTTCCTTTATTTTCTCTACCGTCATCATCAGTAGCTACATGCTGTATGTAGTTTTTCTAGTAGAGGCCAAAAAAACGCCACAAAACTTTCCAGAATGTCAGATATATGATTGGTCAGCAATTAGTGACAAAGGAATTTAATTCTATAAAGAGGCTTATATCTGAATTCCATTGTCAAGGAACAAATAACCAGATCATTGCTTCTTAAAGTTTTTTTGCACCATACTCTATCCAGTTAAAACCACTACTTTGCTCCCTGGATTGCTAAGCAGCATGTCTTTCCTTGTGGATACCCATAGTCATCACAACAACAGGGTCCTTTTATGACCTACTAGGCTTGCTTTCTTCAAGTACATGCTAGATTTTGAGCACTAGGATTTCATGTAACCAGATATTCTCAGTATTTCCAAACAAAAGTTTTCTTCATTCTGAGGGACTCTAAGGTATCTTATACTTTCTACTTCCAGCCAATGTTGACAATTAGGCATATAGGAGAGACCCTCAGTTCAAGCCACAGTTATTACAAAGTGTTCAGCAGTTAATGGATGGAATGGGGACTCAGAAAAAGAAGGAGATTGTTGTTGTTGTTAAGTTGGTTACAACCCATAATGAAAAGATAGAGATGCTTCCAATGAGTCAAACCCTTATATTCTCTGTATTTTGCCTTGACCTCTTGTTTTCCAACTATTCTAACCTATTGCTGTTGTTGTTGTTGTTAAGTGCCGTCGAGTCGGTTCCGACCCAT